ATGTCAAGATATATCATAAACAGTCGAATTTAGGAATTCTGATATGGAGTTCTACCCACTAAGATCTCAATATTACAATAATGTACCGACAGTCTCAGTTAAAATGGATGTTTTCATCTCACGGTATAAGATACTTTACAAACTACATTTCTTTTACTGTAAACTCGAAAATTCTAGCTTTATGAATTTTATATCTCTAGATGAAATCATTTTTCTTTTGACTGAGACTTTTGTGAGCAAAATTACATATCAGAATTTCTAAATTCGACTTTTAATGATATATCTTGTCATTAATCCAGATTTAATTAATTATATATAACCTGAGAAAAAGAGACCCAATGAGATAGTTTGTTTTAGACGTTTTTGAGTCGCTATAGGCTCTATCTAATAACGAAAATTTCGCTTAAAAGCTTTTAACTATTGGAAATGGTTCTCTCGTGATATTATTACTCAATATGTCATATCATAAAATCGAAATGTTATTTAATTATAATCAATTTACAAATTATTTTCATAGATTTTAATTGTGATTTTTTTTGAAGAATAATCAGATTGATAATTATAATTATGGTCGTATGATTTTGAAATTTTAATCTATTTTAATGGGTAAAATTTTTCATCGGGTAGGTATGGTGATTAAGACTGAATAAAAAAAGATACTCTGTGATAACATGAAGCATTTTTTAGAGCCTAAATCGAAAAGAAAAAATTGCAATTGGTGATTGAGAAGACAATATTGGCACAAATCTTTATTTGGCAGTCTTTTAGAACAAGAGCCTTGATTGAAATTTGTGATAGTCGAAAAATCCGTCGCATTTTGTGAGATTCTGTACAATTATGTTGAAAAGGTTTGTCTGGATTTCTCACAATGCGATCCAACGAATTCTATGAGGATTGAACTAAAAGCATTTTTAGACATAAACACGGCTGATAAAATAGACAAGTATGTGCAATGTAATTTATTGCATTTAATATACATTTGTGAACAAGAATGTATATATATGTCTGTATATGAATAGATCAGGTACAAGAGTAGATAAAATGGAAGTGAAAACAATGGGTTCGGATCTACTTAAAGTGTGGCAACAAAATAACAAGAAAGGAAAGGTTGTCACAAACAAATAGTTAAATGCTTGTCATCACAATGTCCATAAAATGGAGTCGATTTCCATTTTAATGATGTATTCGCAGAAATTCATACTTGAACATTCGAACAGTATTTGTGTTCATCGAGCATATTTGTTTTGAGCAAGAGTAGATTAGGTAAATGTTTACCATCGAGCAGTACATTAAGAAAATCATAATATTCAGCATTTCGGTTTAAATTGAATTTGGATCGAATAAAGATTGGAAAAATATTGCACAAGAACGGTTATAATTACCAACGAATCGATTTGATCATTTTCCAAAATCAAATGTTGTACATTAGGATAAATGTCGGGTTGTTCAACACCTCGAAATTCTTAGACAATGTCAACGTGTGAATATGTCGTGCTAGAGATAATGGAACCATTTCCATATTGTCCGCTGTCACATATCGAAGATGACGAAATCCTACAAAGTCATCACGAGTAAGATTGCTTTGAGGCAGAACGATGAGCGTGTGAACATTCGGAAACGTTGCGATAGGTTTATGCAGGCCACATCGACAGTTAGATATTGAACATTCGGACAGATACTTCCAGTATCATCTTCGGCCATCATCGATAAACGAAGTTGCTCGAATGACCAAGGAATCATGTACAAATGTTTGTACAAATTGTCAGATGTCGATCTACATGCAATCAGCCAGCGTTTGCTTAACATTGTAAAAGTCTGAAAAAACTTCGTTGAGATCATTCATATATATATAGGACAATTTTTACCGGCATATAGATATCATGCATTGTCTGAATAGAACAATGAAAATGACGGAGTAGAGGCATACATTCATTGATTAACATTTCCATTTGATTTTCTTATACGAATTGTTGATCGTGACTAAAACAATTTTCTTATGTCGATCATTAAATTTTGGAGTTGAACAAGAGGCATGACTATACCATGAAAATAGTTCAAAGTCATTGTCACATTCTCATTAGTTTTTAATCTAAATTCAACTAAATGTGACATTAATCCACGTGACCAATATTGTGGTGGTATTGGTGATCGTTTACATGCATCAGATTGACAAATAGTAACATTGAGTATGACTAAATTTGGCACCAGTCCATCGAACAGAACAAAAAGATCATTGAATTTTTGTAGTGAAATTGTCAATTGTTTGAGATATTCATTTGAATGCATTCGTTTGTCGAGTACGATAACTTCATTGGTACTCAATTCAAGTTCGACGAGTTTATTGAGCATAAAATTGCGAAGTTTTTTGATGATGTCATACTTCGAAAACTTGTTACTTTCATTTGATGCCGATTCAACAATTCGTAAAGATTGCAATGATTGAAACTTTTTTTATACATGACTTAATAGTCCGAAAGTTGTCGTCTGTACATTCAATTAGTGATAAATGACGAACATCAGTGCAATGAAAGATCAATGGTAAGTCGCACGCATCGTAAAAGATGTCGATCTGTGTTGGTAATCGATTATTATTAATAGTCAATGTTGTAGGTCGAAAATATTCTTTGATGAATAATGGAAGAAAATATTGAAGATCCGAATAGGAGCATTTGGTCAAATCGATATTTTGTCGATAATCGGATATGCAAGAAAATGTACGATTGTCATAATTGTAAAACGCTTTGAGTACATCTATCGGAGTCAAATAGTGGCATATCATGAGAAAAATTTCGTTGGGTAAATCATTCAAATGTGTCGAATGTTTGACTTTGTGGCATAATCGTAGTTTAGTCTGAATGAAAATATGTTGATAGAATTCGTCGTTTATTGTTTTTCTCTCACATACTTACTTTCCAAATAGTTGTTTGCTTGTGGATCATGTCAAGAAAAATATTTGGCTTGCCACGTTGCCAATGATTGAAAAGAATTTTGCCCAAGATAAACAAGTGTTCCATTGACATTATTGGAATGAAAGCGAAAAATATACATTTATTTGCAACAAGTACGTATTGATAGCAGCAATAGTCGCGGATGGCAATCATTCTTTTTGTTCTTGTTTAACATAGACGGTCATTAGATATTCGGGATGGACTCACAACCATTTTTTAAAAATGATGAAGAACAATAAAAATCATTCTCTCATGAAAATATCTCGATTCTTTACATGAAGAGTAACAAGATGCTGTTTACATTCTTCTCATTTATTCATGTTTTTACAGAATAGTCGATACGTTTTGATAAAGATTTCTACTAAACGCAAACAAAAGTCGACTTCTTCGTTGCTGTCTCTAGTGAAAATTCTTTCTCTATCATTTAATAGATTACTCACAATAATTGCAAGAAGATACCGAGCACATATGTAGGACATTTGTGACACAGTTTCCGATTTACACATTGAAGTTTTATTTAAGAAAAAAGTCCTCAGTTTGAATGAATTACCCTCTTGATAGATATTTGATCATTTGAAGAATTTCGTTTACCAATAAGAGTTGGCTGTATGACATTTCTCCGAGTAAATGAAAATTCGTCTATATAATGTTTTGGATGAATGTGTTGATGATGAAGTTCTCTCATGTTGAAACATTCTTTCCAACAATCAATACTAATAAAAACAAGATTTTGATTAAATTCATTAACAAATAATCGACTACTTGTTGCAATATTGGTCTAATTTGTTTGAATTGAAAGTTCAGTGCTCAAGGATTGATCATTGAAATCGATTTCAATTTGGTTCGATTCAAGAAAACTAATCTGGATTGTCACATAATAAAACCATTTTGACAATTTCCTAGGCAAAATCCTTGATGCTTGACAGATCTGGTAAGAATCCTTCAAAGATTCGTTGTTTTTTCGTGGGTGTGAGTATGGACTCTTCACCATCCATCCACACCCGCATCCAATACGGAAAATTCGAAAATCTATAGTTTTGAACTGTAACTCGAAATCGTCTGTCTATACATTTCAGTTAGCCGCAACTAAGTAGTATTGGTATCACCAGCAATTCCTTGAGTTATTTGACATACTGTTGAAGAACATGCTCCGATATTAAATAAATCAAAGTCAATAGTAGAATTTTCTTCATCGAATAAATATCCTAATTGATTTGTTATAAATAACGGTTTTTTTCTTGTATCAATCACATTTGAAAATAGTTTTATTGTGGACAAAAGTTAGGTTCAGATATTTTTATAATCCATCCAACGTTGATTAATAGCGAAAGATGAGGAATTTTGAAAATGGAGATCCGTTTTCTATAAATGATCTAAACATGAGTGGTGATGTAATAAGGAAAAAATATTTGGGTTATTGTACATCGGATATAATCAGGAAGTTTAATTTTTATATATTTGTTTCAAGACAAAAAAACAATACTGTGCAAAAAGAAAGACATAAAGGTTGGAAACACTGATGATATTTCATCAAAAACAACAAGACACATGAACATAATTCAAGTGCATATTTATCTCGAGTGAAAGTCATTGCAGTATCAAGGGCATACGTTATTGTCATCATAGATAAATAAAACATGAAAATTCTTTCATAACTAACTCCCACTTCACATTTAATAAACTGTCGATAAATTTCGATGATTTATTAATATACTTTAACCATGATTAATAGTATATCAAATATCATAGACTATTGATTTTTCATTGTATTTTTATGTAAAATTGAAAAATAAATCCAAAGAATTTTCAATAAAAATGATTAAATTGTTAACAATGTTTGTCTTGAATATAATGTGAAAGAAATTAAACGAGTTGATATTAACCAACGTAGTGTAATTTTTAATATTGAAAATGCATAGAATCAAGCAAGATTTTGACAAGTAAGATAACTTTGTTCAAACAAGTTGAACTAATTTATTCTAAATAGAGCGAATCACATAATAACATGTGAGTATACATACAAACCAGTTGATAAGAATAAATAAAGTCAAAGCCATATTCACGATCCCTCGAATATTTTTTCTCTTACTGAAACAAATCTATTCGTTATTATATTTCTATTGCGACCTTCCTTATGATGTCAATAATTCATATCACAATTATGATTCTCTCTGTTTCATCAGCATTATTTTGCAACCCTCTGTATTTAACTAAGGAAGGCAACAGAAAACTTTATTATGGCATCCTTATCTTATTTACTCAAAAGAAAACTAAAGAATACTTTTATCTTTCCAGGCCGAAAATTCGATAAAAATCTCTAGAATCATAATGGATGATACGCATTGAAGTTCTCATTCAAGCAAGCGCAAAACAAGACCATTTTTCGTATTATTTATATATGAGAGAAAGAAAACAACGGGAAAATATGTCA